AACCATATGATAATTATTATCCAACTGTTACTAAGGGGGGGGGCAGTACCCAAATTAAAAGCAAAAAGAAGGTCAGGCGGTAGTTGGCACGGTGAGGCCGTAATCCCTGGAGGGCAAGAAGCAACACCCCACAGGAATATGGTAGTTCCCCTAAATAGGGGGACCCAAATTCGACCCGAAAATACTATAATCCTTATGGGGACCCCCAAAAAGGTACCCCTAATTTTGGGAAATCCCCATATTGAGTAGGAAGGGCGCAAGAGCAAAAACAACTTTTGCGAGACAATTGCAGCAATGTGTTTCCTGACGCAAAAACATGCGGGGCCTCACATAGTGAAAATAATCGCAGAATAGGAATAATATGATAACAACAATAATGATGATAATAGTAGGAGTAACTAGTAATAACTAGTAATAACAATAATAGTTGTTGTTGTTGTAGTGGTAGTAGTAGTAGTAGTAGTAGTAGGAGGTAGTAGGCAGCAGGTAGGAGTAGTAGTTAGTAGTAGTAATAGTAGTCGTAGTAGTAATCGTAGTAGTAGTAGTAGTAGTAGGAGGAGCAGTAGTAGTAGTAGTAGTAGTAGTAGTAGTAGTAGTCAGAATACCCAACTCCATCACCCAAATAAGCCCTCCATCCCCACTCACCAAAGTACCATGGAAACCAGAATCGTGAGTTGAAGATCCTGTTTCCTTCTACGCTTCAGAACGGATATTGCGGCCTATATGATGACCAGTATCATTGTGTGTGCAACTGCTGGACCTATTCTCGAACCTCTACACATGAAACTCTCAACCTCTAAACTCCTCAACTCCTACACAAAGACCACCTGCTGAATCCCTATAAACCGGATACGTATCCTAAACTTATGGATCTCAAACCTACGTGGCCATCTGCTTGTTTAAAACTACGTAAGGTGAAAACAAACGTATCTGATATAAATAACGGACATGTATGTGCATATATATATATATGTATATCGTAGTTTCCATAAATAGGGGATCCCAATACAGACCCCAAAATACTATAGTCCTTATTACAGGGACCCCCAAAATGGTACCCCTATTTTTGGGAAACCCCCATATACGCCCTCTGTGATACAAAAACCCACTAAGCATCCCACTCTTACCCATCCCATGCGCCCTCAGCACCCAGTGACCCAAAGCACGAGAAGCACAAGAGCCAGGAGCATGATGAAGACCTGCACACAGCAGGGTTTAGGGTTTAGGGTTTAGGGCTGTGTTCCCGTAATAATCCCTATGGTAGTCCCCTGTATAATCCCTTTCAAACCCCTTTAAGCAGTTTAGATTATGGCTCAAAGGACGGTATTTTGGGGTCTCCAGCGGGGGGGGACCCCCTTCAGGGAAACTACAAGTACCAAATTTAGATGTACCCACCTAGCTCCGGGCTCACTGGCCTGGGATATTTTTCTTCAACTCTTTGAGGGGTTTAGGGTTTAGGGTTTTAGGCGTCCGAGGGTCCGGTACTTTTCACTTTACCGGAGATTCCAAGATTGGGCTTCGAGGTCTAGGGCTGAGGGTTAAGCACTGAATGCCACAGCCCCAACCCTACAGCCCTAAAGCCCCCAAATACCAAACTACTGAACCCTGAACACATGCACCCTAAACGTACTGGCTGCTGTATGTAATGAACTCACAATGATAAAGCAGTGGTTCCATCTTCTTTTCCATTCCTTCACTCCCTACCGAACACCGAGCAATTCAATCTTGACTTGAAGGGCGTATGGAGTTGAAAGCAAAAGGTCCATACTGCCTAAGTAGGTTATAACCCTAAACCCTAAACCCTAAAAAGTTAGAACTCTAGGATGCTACCTGGTTATAACATTTTCCCCCGACCTTAAACCAATGAACCCACTACTGTAATCCCAGCTTCTTATCCCGAAACACTACACCCTAAGCCCTAAACCTTCAACTCTATATAACCCCATCAGCAGTCCTACATATGTATATATATATATATACATATCCCAAGATACCCCTGTACAACCCTAAACCCTAAACCGACTGAAGGATCATGCTGCAGGCCTGGTAGCGGAAGAACAGAACCGAGCCTGGCCCTGCAACGGGCACCTCGGGCGGGGTTAGAAAAGTTGAGGTACCTCGGGTTTTAGGGTTTTAGGGTTTTAGGGTTTTAGGGTTTAAGGTCTAGGGTCTAGGGTTTAGGGTTTAGGGCTTAGGATTTTAGAGTTCAGGGTTTAGGGTTGGGATTTAGGGTTTAAGGATTTAGGATTTTAGGGTACCTGTGAATGGGATGTAGAGGCTATATGAACTATAGTCTGAGCTCCTAATATCCCCCTTTATAGTCCCAATAATACTCCCCTATATAACCACTTTAAAGGAATGTAGACTGAGGCTCATAAATATGGGGATATATAAAAACAAGCACATTTAGGGTTTGGGTCATGGTTACTTTGTTTGTGGTGGCAGAATCGAATAAGATGCTGTTGTTTTTACAAAATGTTAAATCCCAAAGGAGGATATGATCCCTAAACCCTAAACCCTACTATCGTATCCCCAGTTAAAGGACTACTCAGGTCAAGTTCCACCATTCCAGGTCTAGGGGTTTAGGGTTTAGGTTTTTTTTTCTCGGACCTTTTCTCCTCGGCATGAGGGTTTAGGGTTTAAGGTTTAGGGCATGTCTGGACTTTGGAACTTGGGGTCTACTTGGCAGGTCAGGGGGACTTAATAAGTATACGTATAACCCCTATAACTCATTTGGTAATCCCAGCTTTCCCTTTAATTCCCCTACTTACTAAGTCCCCCTTTGACCCTGAACCCTGAACCCTAAACAATATAGTAGTTTCCATTTTCTTTTCCATTACTACGAAGTCCCCTACACCCTAAACCGTAGTAATTCGAATGTTCTTGCCCATTATACCCCGCAAGTAGGGTGCTAGAGATTTGGGGTTTAGGGCTTAAGGCTTAGGGTTCAACATGGTCAGAACGAAACACACCCCAGCTAGGTTCAGGGAGTTTAGAGTTTACAGTCTAGGGTTTAAAGTTTAGGGATTAGGATTTAAGGTTTAAGGTTCAGGGTTGAAGGTAGGTTTGGGGCCCCCCAAAAAATGCAGATGTTTATGGCATCATAGGGACTATGTACCTACCGACTATGGGTAACGGAAATTGAACTGATGTTCTCAAACGGGTTTAGGGTTTAGGACGTTTAGGGTTCAGGGTTTAGGGTTTAGTTTAGGGTCTCAAACCAACCCTGCAAACGACAAACTGTGTGGCACCTTCAAGGTGTTCGTCTTCAGTGGCCACAGCTGGCGCTCTTCCGCTGGAGCTTCCTCTGTGATGCTCTCCACAGCACACCTCAGCAGCGCGGTTCTTCAATAGTAGCTTCCATTTAATGTTCCGTTCTCCTTTGCATTTGGTTTTCCATTATTGTGGTAAAATCACTAAACCCGAAGCCCTGAATCTTGGTTTCCATGTTCTTTTCTGGTACCTCTATATAACCCCCATAAATGACCCCTATATACCCTTTATTGCGGTAGTATCCCTAGTATCCTGGATACCATAGAGCCTTTAAGGCTTCTGACATGGGAGGGCCCACACTTGAAAGATGATTTGACACACCAATCCAATAATGCGTATATACGATTATTTATAGGGGTTAAGTAGGGATACTGGAAAAGAAAATGGAAACCACTATTTAGGGTTAAGGGTTCCTTGAGCTCAAGGTTTAGTCGTTTGGGCTGTCGGGCCTTTAGCATGCAGGGACTCCAGATACAAAAGCTTTCTGCATGTTCCTAGAGTTGTGCTTGTGGGCTGTGTGCCAAGGGAAGCGCGATGCCTCTACCAGAAGTTAACTTCGATGAGTGTACCTTGAAGAGTGTGGGTAGAGTAACTCCTGAGTAACTCCTGAACCTCAAACCCTCAGCCCCAAGCCCTTCTAAACCCTAAACCCTAAACCCTAAACTCTAAACCCTAAACCCTAAACCCTTATAGGGTTTGGGGGGCTTAAGCTTTGGTCTTCAGGGTGCAGAGTTAAGTCCAAAGTCTCGGCTGCAAAGCTTGAAGCCAAGCATATAGAGGCTTCCCCAAAATTACGATCCTTTCTGGGGATTCCTATAATAAGGACTGTTTTATTTGGGGGGCCTATATTACTTGGAGCTCCCCTTTGTAGGGAGACTACCATGTACAGTAGGGTTGAAGGTGTTTGCAATGGAGGGTCCATGCCTCTTCAGTCTTCTCAAAAGGGGGGATTGCCTGATGCTTTCCCAACAAGTTCGTTGAACCAAGACGGGTAGCTATGGCCAACGTTGAGCCTTGCTAAAAGGTCTACCACCGGGTTGAATTCAACTTACACATTGCCTTAAACCCTAGACCCTAAACCCTACACCCTAAACCCTAAACCCTAAAACCTAGACCCTATGTGTTGTAGGAAGTTCTTTGTAGAGGAGGCCCGAGGTGTCAAAAAAGGTCCCTAGTTGCCAAGGGCTGAAGCTCCTCAGGCTTCAAGACCTTAATTTTGGGTACTGCCCCCTCCCAGTAACAGTCTATATTAGGGGTCCTTTCAGGGCTATATATAACCATATTACAATTATTATCCAACTGTTACTGAGGGGGGGCAGTACCCAATCTTAATTCAAGGATTACCCTACCTGGACCCCAAAAGTATGCAAAATAACGGCCTTTGTGGCTGTTATTATGGGTTTAAGGCTATTATTTTGCACACTTTTGGGGTCTAGGTAGACTGTAACACAGTAAACCATTCACATCGAAACTCATATGCCCAAAACCCTGAGACCTAAACACCCCAAACTTTGGTGCGAAGCCACAGGCCTGAAACCCTGAACCGCTTGAGACAGAAAACCTAAACCCCAAACATTTACTGGTCCTTAGCTGGGAATGAAAGAAATACAATCCCTACAGAATCCCTGCCCTATATGGTATATTCCCATATTCCCTACTAAGAACCAGTAAGCAGACATCAGCTCAAGACGCAACTTTGTCTGCGTTCGGAACTGTAGGGCCTGCGTTTCCTCTTCCAGGTTTACCTGCTTCAGGATTGAGGGCTGGCGGATTATGATTTGGCGGTTTCCCAAAAATAGGGCTATCACTTTGGGGGTCCCGCTAGTAAGGATTGTAGTACTTGGGGCTCTATATTGGGGTCCCCCTATTTGGGAAACTACCTGGCTTCGGCGGCGCTAGTCCTTGGAGTTTCAGTTTCAGGCTTAAGGCGTATGGTTAAGGAGACAGTTGCCCCAAGATGCACCCAGTGGACTGCATGGGATCACATAGGTGTATGAAGCTTTCTGAAGGGGGGCTTTCGTGGGATTCGAAAACAGTGCATCTTGGTTTTCAACAATTTGCACACCTAAACACTAAAACCTAAATAATATACAGTAGTTTCCATTTTGTTTTCCATTATTAACCTACTTACTAAGTCCCCCTGACCCGCCAGTACTAGGCCTCTAAAAAGGTGGAGCCCTGGTTATTGGAATCTCCTGCCTTCTTTCTTCTGGCCAGACTCACCTGGGTTGCTTTTAAGGAACTGAATTTAAGTTACTATATTGCGGAAACCATACAAGTTACTATAATATACCCATAATGTCCCAACTTAACTTAAGTTCATTTTAACAGCAACCCAGTCACGTACCAGATGATGAAGTATGCCACCGGAATGAGCAGCGCGAAGTACAGTAGGCTCTGCGCCAGAGTTCCGATGATCGGCACTTGGAATACACAGGCGCCATCTTGTAGTATGAAGCCGTGGTGACAGTCTCCGCACACGTCACTGTGGGCCGTCCTGTTACCTGGTTCATGAACAGGGTTATATTAAAAAGTTTCTTTGGACCCATGTGTCCTCAAACAACTTTGCATAGTAAAAAGACACGAAGACGAGCCTCTTTTGATGCTTAGACCTTTGACCTGGCAAATCAACAATGCAAAATGTGCGCCAGCAGTGGTCCAGTTACAAAGTCTGCAGCCTGGAACCGAGCATCGCCGGCAAAAGCCGACATCCATATCAGGGACGGACTGAGCCTCGATCCAAGTTTTTTCGGGCTTAGGGTCCCCTAAACCCTAAACCCTGCTTGGAGGATCTCTTGACTTAGTAAGTCTACTGAGTAACTGGGGTCATAAGGCTTATAATAAGGGTTATAAGGGATTATTAGGGATAGTAGGTAGACTTACAAAGTCCAAAGATCATCCAACTGCTTCAATCAGCAGACCATGGCTACTGGATGGAGTAGGGCTTAGGGTTTAGGGTGTTTTTTATCGGACCTTTTTGCACATGCTTGAGTTTAGGGTTAGGGTCTTTCCCCGTATACATTTCTGCCAAAGTACATATGAAAGTTTCCAAAAATAGGGGGACCCGAATATAGACCCCAAACTACTAAAGTCCTTGTTCTGGGGATCCCAAGAAGGTACCCCCCAATTATGGGAAACCTCCACATTACAGAAAATGCACAGACTTTATCCTTGGAAACATCCAGGAGCCAGGTTAGTCCCACTCTTTGGCACACCACACTCGGTCTTCGTCACGCACTTGAAGTAACAGTGCTGCTCTCCTTCGGTGTCTTCCTGGGTTGCTGTTAAGGAACATAAATTAAGAAACCCTAAACCCTAAACCGAAAAGTTTCCCTAGTGGGTGTGTGTCTATATATGGTAATTAATCCCATTTTCCCAAGATAGTAGCCTAAATCAATTTCCTTAAGAGCAACCCAGCTTCAGCCAGGAGGGGGCACGCATCTGGGCACGTCTCATCATCTTCGAACTCAATGGCATGCTTCGGCGCTCTCTTGCATTCACTTGGCAAGTTCAGCGGTATAGCTGTAGCATGGACCACCGTCTTGTTCACCACCAGCGGCTTGACCCTCTGCTCAAAGTCTTCCTGGGTTTGGGGTTTAAGCTGTAGGGATGCTTCTGATCCTCCCATATGACCCAGCCTGCATTTTGGGCGTGCGCCTGGGCTACATCGTCTTTGTGGGGAGGCCCTATTCATTGATGTCTTGGTAACAGTATTAAAAGGGTGACAATAATATAAGGGTGTCGAGCCAGAAAAATCCAGGAAGACTACATTTGCTTCCTAACAACTTCGGAGCCCGACAAGGTGGAAACAAGGTCCATCCGCCATCATAGGGGGTGACAATACTAATATTGTCTGCCTGAAAATATCCCGATCTTAAAAGATTTCCTCCTACTTGCTACTTGTACTACTAGCCCCCCCTAGCTGCACTACCTGTCCTACCTCAACCCTTTGTTTCGTTTTTGCGACCCACCCTCTCCGTAGACCAAAAGCGCAAAACAGCTCTTCGATTTTTGTTTGCGGGGCGCGGGGGCGGGGGCGGCATTCTTCATTGTCACTGAAACATTTAGGACAATATCGAACAAGAAGGTAGGGCATTCCAGAAATTAGGGGCCCTTTTTGATAGCCCCAAAAAGGAAGCGTGATATATTGCCTGTTGAAGGAAATTACCAGAAATGACCATACCATGTGTGACCTGACACCCGAAACCAGAAACTTTGAGGAGTGGCCCTTGCCACAATCCCCCTAGACCTATACTATAGTAACAGTTCTGATTGTAGTCATTCCTTAGGTAACACCATAATAAAAATGAAAAACAATTCCTATGGAATTCTAGCTTCCGGTCGCTTCGAAGAGAAAAAAACGTGTGCGACTTCTTTTTGGAACGTGCAAAAGTCGTTGCCTTTATGCCTCATATTCTTTTTACTCACTTGGGACTAGAACTTTCCAGAATTCTGAGACCCTGAATCTCAAAAGGCTATATCCCAAATCCTGAACCCGAAACCCAACAACTTAAACCTTACAAACCACCACTCAAGTCCAGCATCCATTCGACTTTTTGTTTTCTTGTCCCTTGGGTATCCCGAACCTCCGGTCCCTCTAAGCCCCACATTACAAGGACTGTAATGGGGACCCCAAACAGGGAACCGCAAGACTATGGTAGGCATATAATCGGAATATAAGGGCACCTGTGCGCATACTCCTGTTATATGCCTACATATTTCGACTATATTGTTGGGGTTCCCTCCTGTGGGGCTGCCATTGACGTCTCTTTGCACATATGCCCACATGTCCCTGCAGTACCCCAATAAACCCTTACATAACCCTTAGAGATTAGACTATACATCTAGATTCAAAATCCTAACAAGTGCATATGCTACACTGCTCTACCTATTATGGCCCCTACATTACAATCCCTTCAAGCTTTGTATGAACCCTGTTTCTAGCTCATTTTCCGTTTTCTTCTCGATTTAGCTCTTATACGGGGTATTATCCCCATATAACCCCTATCTAATCATACCCCTGCATAATCCCTGCACAATCGCTATCTATCTATCTGTCTATATATATATATATGTATATATTCCCAATATATCCCCCATATCCCTCTTTAATCCTCAATTAACCCCTTTAGACCCCTCATAATCCTACAACCCTAAACCTAAGCCCTAAACCACATGCTAAGCCCAGCTTCTGGCAGGGCTTGCTTCTCTGCGTGCAGCTGGCTCTGGACGATCCGGGCCTCTGCATCATCAGGCACGGTGGCGCCCGTCCCAGAGATATGCCAACTGTCCTTTGGCGCACCTGGTACGGATTGCCAGTCTGCCCATAAACCCTAAACCCTGAAACCCTGAACCCTAAGAATTAAGCGTTACACTCAAAACCCTAAACCCTAAACCCAGGACTTCTGCAATCTTTTCGGGAGAAATTTCTCCGGAGGAGTGCCCACCTTGCCCGGAGCCTGTGGGGGACGTCGCTGCGGTGTAATGTACGTGCCGAAGCATCTGCTCTCCTGGGTTTAGGGGTTTAGGGGTTTAGGGTTTTAGGGTTTTAGGGCTTTAGGGTTTAGGTTTCCGGGCTTGAATTGTGTTACCATAATGGGTATATGTAGTAGTTAATAGGGTTCTTCAATATAGTAAAGCTCCGTAAATCTCTGCATTACCCAAGTTTCCATGTCATTGTCCGTGTTATTTTCGATTTGACGCTTCATAATAGGAGGATATAGTAACTTAACCTAAGTTCCTTAACATCAACCGAGTCTCTTTGCTTATCAAAGTCCGTAGTCTGAGCCTTGGCAATGGTGTTTTCGACCAGGTCCTCAATGTACCAATCACTCTCCTCTGGGGAGGTCCCTGACTTTTCTACATCTTCGGCATCTCCGGGAAGATCTTCATGCAGCAGGTCTGCACTTCTGCGGATGAGCGGAGCATCCGGGCTTCGACTCTTGGACGAAGCACGTCCATCATACGAAATGTGAATTTCATGGGCAGGTTTAGCAGAACTACTATATGCAATGGCAGGGAGCAGCCCGTGCCAAAGCAAAAGCAAAGCATGTGCTTTGCACATGCTTGTAGGATTTACGCCATAGCCCTTGAGCACATGGCTGCAGCATGAACCCCAGTCCCCTCAGCACTTTTTGCAAAGCTGTTCCATTCGCTATTCCTTGCTTACACCTACCCTCACCCTCCAGAAGCTGTCCCACGTCGCCTCTTGTCCTCTGCAATGCTGAGAAACCCCTTCCCGCAGAGCCTGCTGCAACTGTGCGATCTCTGCAGCCGCGCTGGTCAACTCGGTCACGGCCTCATGAGTCTTTAGGGTTTAGGGTTGTTCCACGAAATGCCTTCCAACATGTCCAGCCTGCGAAGATCACCTTCCTTTTGAAAAGCGCCTACCTGGGCTTCTCAACCAAAACCCCAAACCTGAGCATCTCACAAAACATGCATATAAAATACAAATGAAAGACCACAATCATCCACTTGTAGCCTAGTAGCCCCTACTTTGTAAAACTCCCACATCCCTGTATACCATGGCACAGCAATCCCAAACCCTAAACCCTAAAACCCTAGCACCCTAAACCCTAAAAACCTACAGCCCAAACCTTAAAACCCTAAACCCTAAAAACCTACACCTGAAACCCTGAAAACCTGCACCTAATACCCTAAACCCTAAAAACCGCCTAAATCGCTGGCAAGAGGCCATGGTCCGCGTGTTAGACAGTAGGTCTGACCGCTGCGCCAGCTCGCCCTGGACCTGCACTGTAGGATTTAGGGTTTAGGGCTAAGGATTTGAAATTTAGGATTTACCCATGAAAACTTCAAGGGAATTTTCGGGAAGGTTTGCGGTTAAGGGTTTATGGGAAGTTTGGGGGCCCCTCTTCGAAATTTTAATGGTGGGATCTTGGGGGGGTCTACAGCTAAGAGGACCCCTACGCTGGAAAAGAAGAATGAAAACTACAATGTTGGACAAAAGCTTTCCATTTGTTCTCCCATGACTGCGATGGGAAAGAAATCTGAGTACCAGTCATAATGCAAGAGCTCCATCTTCATTTACATGACTAGAAGCTGAAACGACTAGTTGGCAGAATAAAGCTTTGATTGGAAAAGGACGCAAACTAATAGTGTCCGTTCTCTTTTCCATCATTCGAGGGACTTTAGGAGGGACCCTTAATAGGGACCTTTAATCCCATTACCATATATAACCCTTATATAGTCATTTTACAGCCCTTGTATTTCTTAGAATCATTCTAGTGGAAACGCAATGAACTACTTGTCGTATTCACTCGGCCTCATAAACCCTAAACCCTAAACTCCCAACTCTGAGCCCTCAACCCGACTTCCTAATCCCTGCCCTAACCCCAAAGCCCTAGATGCTCATTAATTCTAATCCGTAAGACCTAAACCCCAAATCCTAAATCCTAGTCCCCTAAACCTTGAACGGCTACTCCCCGGTCCCTGTGCCTCGTCGTCTTCCAAGGCTTGCTTCTTGCGGCGCCACTCCTCTTAAGGGTTTAGGGTGTAGGATTTAGGGTTTAGGGGAAATGATAAGAGCTATGATCTAAATTCCCAGCATCCCCCTCAGTAAAACTTATGACACTCCTCGATATAAGCCCCCATATAACCCTCCCTTTACGGAGTTTAGACCCTAAACCCTGAATCCTACACCCTCAACCCGAAACCCTACATCTATATAACCCCCTTTCCAGGAGTTTAGACCATAGCTCGACGCACGTGGAAGTCTTCTTTTAGGGGACGACGCGGCTATTGGCAGCCCTGGCCTCCACAGCAAGATTCCCTCTGACATGCACAGTCCAGGAAGGCAATGGCTTGAATGGAGAGTCAAGGTGTATGCGCGGTTTAGGGTTTAGGGT